TATTCCCAGTCCAATTGGGGACTAAGTTGAGAGCATTAAAATGCGAATTGCTATAATAGCTTGTAATGGTCCATATATAACACAATTTTTAGTGCATATGTAAGTTGTTTTAAGATTTAAATAATTAGTACATATTGTTAGTCACATGGAAACAGGATCCAACAAATATATCAATATTAAATTAAGTAAACATAAACTGTTCTATTCAAAACTTAGGTTTTGAAAAGTACTGTATTGCAACAAAAAATTTTTTTGTTTATTTTTAATTGTTTGAAATTTTGGTTGACCATACAGCTGTATCGAACGTTGTCGAATACTCAAAAATTTAGTCAAAAATTTGATTAAATAAAAATAAATAAATTCAGTACTGTTCGCAACCTCTCTAAAAAATATTTCAATTAATGAAATAAAGAGAAATTATTAATAAACGAAGAAAAAAAATTTAAGTATATTTAGAATGTCTAACTTTACTTTAGAAATTACTTTAGAAAATAACATTTAAAAATTAAAAAAAAAATTTTATGGTCACTATAAAAAAAAATGTTGTTAAATTCGATGACTAATATATAACATTACTAATCTTCAACGTAAAAAATATGTTTAACATAAGAGGGTATATAATAATTATTAGTCCGGCCACTATACCAGTCATTGGCTTTAGTTCATTATCAGAACAAATATTAAATGCAGCTAAGTTATTATATACTAGAAAACTAGAAAAATAATAACTCTTTATCAATTCATAAGCTATTATAATTTATTTTTAATGAACTATTTATAATTTAAATTTTATTAATAAGATACATTTGTGACTGCTACTGTACACAATTTCGGACTATTTAAAATCAGCTCATATCTAATCTTCGCTGTTGACAATATAAACAAATCCGATGTTTCATTATAGTAAACGATTAACTTTATAAAATTCTATAGTTTGTTTTGTTTTTGGAATTTTGCACCAATTTTGTAAAAGAATTTTTTATATGAGTTTGAATGATTCTGATAAGATACAAGTATCTTGCGATATTCATTCATTTTAAATAGATAGAAAGTACAACGAGAAAATGTGTTTACTATTTTTAATAGTTCTTATAAGTTTATTTACTATTTTTTTATTTTTTTGTACACTTTAAAAAATAAACAAAATAAGTTACTTTTTAAAAATTTATTATAATTTTAATAAAAAATAAAATAAGAAAGAACAAATCATGCAACAAATAATGCCTCTACGAAAAAAATAGTATTGAAATTTAACAATTAAAAATAAAAACATAATTAATTAATTAATTCAATTATTTTACAGCTGGTTTATGATTTCGTTCTAATATATATAAACACAGCAAGTAAAATTGTTAATAAAAACTTTCATAGTAATAGTAACAAAACTCCAGAAAAATATGCGAAGATAAAAACTCAAGTACGGCTTTGGATCAGTTGGTTAAGGTACGCTGATTCGGAGCTTCACATTTGGCAGGACCTGAGTTCGAATCCTTGCAGTCTCAAAAATAATTATTTTCGAATAATTAAATACAAGAATTATTTCCGAGACCACTAATGGTGGGTATTTGGCAATACTCGAAACAGCTGTATGGTCAGCCAAAAATTCAATTCATTAAAATAATATAAAAAATAAAATTTTTTGTTGTAGTTCACTATTGTTCGAAAAAACTGGATTATAAAAAATTATTATATTAATTAAATTTATTATTCAATTAAATTGATTTAAAAAAAATAAACTAAATATTTTATTGCAATATATTATTGACATATATATGTATATATATGTATATAATTTATATAATAAAACTGAAATTTTTATAATTTATAATTTTCATACAAAACATTTATTGATATAACTTAATAATAAATCGAATATTTATTACATTAGTTAGTCAGATATTTATATACAATTAAAAAAAATTATTTCGATAACATTTTGTAAGACTTCAGTAAAATTTTAATAATTTTTAACAATTTTTATTTAGTATTCCTTAACTGTGGTTCTTGTTCCTAAAATTTGAGTTTTAAATATTATTTTCGACAAGTTTTCTTCTATTTCTATCAGCTTTCTATGGGTTGATTTTAAATAGACAGCTATAGTAAATAGTGATTTTAAATTGTAAATAGAATAATGAGTTATTATTTTTCTCCTGTTTTTTTAGTATATAATAATTCAACTGTATTTAACATTTTGACAATGACAATGAACTTATTATACGTACCATATATGACTGGTCCGTTTCCTCATCATCAAAAGCTTCAATATAATAATTAACGGAATAAGCTATTGCTTATGGTAAAAAATGAATTCTATTAAATACACATTAAAAGAAAGTAATCATAATTTTGTTCTACATCAATGGTAAAGTTCTTGAATATTATAGTTTAACTATAATAATAAATGAAATACGTCTTCACAACGATCATACATGCATAAAGTTATGAAAATATCAATATATAAATTTTACTGTTCTTAAATAACTCCATTTTTATGAAAGAAATAGGCGAAAAATATTGAGTTCTAGTTTCATCAGCCAATTTTAAGCAAAGTTCAATGTCCAGATTTTTTGTACGATTTCCACTGCACAAAAATTTTAAATTAATTCAAAAATAATAGTGCAAAGTCATTCATTATTACTTACAAGATAATGTTATTTTCTTGCAAGATAACTCAAGAACTAAATAAAAAATCAAGCAGAAAAATGTTTTTAAGATGTTTTAAAATTCATCAGTAACTTTTAGTAAGAGTAGATGTTTTACATTTAAAACCTTTATTTATTCTAAATTATGTTCAATTGCATTTCACAGCAAATTAAAAGCTTTAATTTTATCTTTTAGGAAAGAGTGAGAATATCTCAAGCAATAGTCATGCTCTTTAGTACAATTTCAATAATAAAACTTTTTAATCGAACTGATAAGGGCTTTGAGTATTAGCAACTGTTCTGAGGCAATATAAAGCGATTTCAAAAAAATTCAGTTTATTAAAGCATTCAATCGCAGACAGCACATACAGTCTATTATATTCATAAAAAGTTCAATATAAAAAAAATTTAGTAAAAATGGAATTTCCAGTAGTATTCGATGAAGAGGAGAAAATATGGTCTGGTCTAAAACGTAAAAGAATTTTTAATTCAAGCACATCGGTTGGGGAGATAGCACTTTATATGATGCGAAGTAAACCACCAACTGCGCCATGTCAAATATCAGATTCTGAACACACAACGTTGACCTTTGAGTCTGCCAGTACGTATGCCGTACGTATAGCACAACATTTCAAGACACTAGAACTGAGTCAGGACGATGTTGTGAGTATAGTGGCAACTAATACAACGTTTCTAATGCCTGTTATAGTCGCTTGTTGGTTAAATTGTACACCATTTCAGGCAATCTATCCGCTACATGCAGAAAGTAGGTTTTTCACATATAAAATATATATAATATTATTTACTTCTTTATTAATTAAAGATATTGTTCATCATCTTTTAAATATAACAAAGCCAAAAATAATTTTTTGCGATGGTTTATATTATGAAAAAGTTAAAAATTGTGAATCTGCATTGAATGCAAAAATATTCACACTCTGCAATCATTTAACTGACGTACCAAAAGTGGAAGATTTATTAGAACCCACAATGACGGAACACTTCTTTCAGTAAGTAAAATGCATTTTTCGGACCACTATTAAGTCTCTTAAACTATTAAAACTCTTTTTTTAGACCAGCTACATTAAAGTATGGACCTGATCAGACAATGGGACTATTTTGTTCATCTGGTACCACTGGTCTTCCAAAAGCTGTTTGTATATCAAACGATCAAATGTTGAAAACCCATGGGTTAGATGTCATTATTAATTATTTAAAATATAATGTATTTTAACTAATTTATTTTCTACAGTTTCACTAACGGCACTACAGTTATGTTTTCATTCTCCACACCAGACTGGACAACAGGACTCTTTAGTGTCCTCTATAATACATTAACTGGTGGCATACGCATAATTACAACGAAACCATATTCTCCAGAATATTTGATGGAAATTATTATTAAGTATGAAGTCAACTTTGTGGGGATTGGCGCATTTCAAGCAACTGAAATATCGATTTTGCCTAATTTCACTAAAGAAAATTTAAAAAGCCTTCGATTTATATTTATGGCAGGTGGACACTGCCCAATATCTACATTGGAACGTGTACGTGCCCAACTAACTCATGGAATGCTTATAAATGGCTATGGTACAACAGAATGCGGGGGATTAGCCGGTAATATGAAAAATTATAAGAACAATTCGGTGGCTAGGATCCTGCCGGAAATACAAACAAAAATACTAGATCAACAAACTGGTGAAAAGTTAGCACACAATCAAGTTGGTGAAATTTATATGCGTACGTCAAGCAAATGGAGTGGTTACTATGGAGATGTGAAAGCGACTGAAGCTGTCTTAGACGTTGATGGTTGGGTACGAACTGGAGACTTGGGTTATATGGATGAAGAAAACTATTTATATTTGCTTGATCGTTGCAAGGATATTTTTAAATACAAGGGCAGACAATATTCTCCACATGAAATCGAAGAAACTATACAAGAATTATCAGATGTATTGGATGCGTGTGTTTTTGCTGTTTATGATGATGAGTTCAATGATTTAGCGGCAGCAGCAGTTGTGAAGAAACCTGGTAGTAACCTAACGGAGGATGATGTTGTTAAGTATGTAAAGCAACATCAAGAAAATGAATGGAAGCACCTGAATTACGGAGTGTTTTTTGTCGATGAAATATCCAGAAATGCTAATGGTAAAGTTTTAAGAAATAAAATGAAGGAATATTGCTTAAGTTCTAAATAAATAAAAATCGATTGTATAAAAATTCAAAGATCTTATTATATAATATATAATAAACAAAATGTAATGTTTTTTAAATAATTATTTTATTTCAATGCAATCATTTTGAGAGTTTCTAATATTTATAATTAAAAATTAAATAGACTGTAGAGAGCAAATTATTTTTCAATTAAAGTTGATTTGTTTTTTATTGATAATGATGATAATAATTATCCTTTAATGTCCTTTGGAACATAAGACCTGACAAAATATTTCTATCATGTTCCGTTGCTTGCTGCTGTTCTGGATTTTCTACATTAATTAAATTCCTTTTCTTATAGTTGCCTCCATATCAATATGCTTCTTTGGGTATTTTAGTTTTCATACATCAAGTTAATTGCGGTTCCTACATAACAATGTGATTTTTATAGTTAATTATTTGATATTAGGTTAGGCAATATCCATTTTTTTATAGTCTGGACTCATTGGTTTATAACAGATCTTATTATATTGTTTGAAAGGTATGTTGTCAGCAACGCTTCGCAACCACAGACTTAAACTACCAAAAAATTTGATTCAAATTCAAGTCTTTCGGGTTGGAGCTGTTACTACATTGATTGTAGTCTTGCCATGTGTTAAACTCTGTTGAAATTTGCTAGATATTTACTTAGGTATTTAAAAGACATAAACTCGACTACCTTGAAAGCCGGATCTTAGTCCTAAATCAAATAGGTAAAATTAAGCCCACAGCAATCACAAGATTTATAAATAGTCTAAAATTGCTTTTAGGCGCACAATAGATATTTTAAGTCGCGGTGCTTTCATAGCCTATTATTCAATAATAATAATAATAGCTATTTAAAAGTATTTTATTTCCGAGTTCTTAAATTTTACGAAAACTTTTATTTTTTATTTCAAGTTTTTATTTTAATGTTATATACTTTTACTGTTGTCTTCTTCGATTCTATGTTGGTATTATGGATATAAATTCATTTATTTGAGGCACTTTTTTATTTAAAATATATATATTTCAAACATTAATAACAAAATAAAAATCGTTTATGGTCTTTTATTCAAAGAAACAGTATTTTTAAAGAAAAAGTACATAGATTCGACATGTATATCACATAAGAAGTCTTCTTGGTTTTGGGTCAATCCAAATGTTTTTCCGGTCAATCTTTACTGCAATAAATTCCATTATAACTTCCGTATTTTATGAATATTGGAAAAAATATGTACTGCATCCTCTTAAATTACTTTATGAACTGTTTCTTATTTAATTTAATTTTTATTGTCTCAAAACTCAAAATAATATAAAACTCAAAACCCTTATCAGTTCAATGCATATGGTTTACTTTTCAAAATGTATTAAAGAGTAATCACTCTCTTAGACTTGAGATAAAATAAAAGTGTTTAATTTGTTGGGAAATTATTCCGAAATTGAAATAATTAAAGAGTGTTTAACTGTCAAACATATTCTCTTTATAACGATTATTTAAGAATTTCAAAATATCTTAAAGCTTTGTCGATGTTATTTCTTATAGGTTTCGTCAGTTACATTATAGAGAAATAGCTTTATCCTCCCATCTAGTAATGAATGAATTTGTGAGATATTTTGAAATTGAACTGAGTTACTGAAGTCGTGCATAAAACATGGACTTCGAACTTTGCTTAAAATTAGCTGATGAAACTAGAATTTAATATTTCTTTCGGCTCCGCAGCATGTAAAAAACTTGGACTATAATGATATAATATATGGATATGCAAGTTTAACTATAAATAGATTTTTCGTCTGCTATTCAGGCCGTAGTTTGGTCTTTCAGATAAAATGATAAATAGTGAATTAAACTTTTGTCTTTCAGTCATGTTGTAGATTGTGGAAAACTTCGTTCTTTCAATATCACTTTCGCCTGTCTTCACTTGTCTTCTACCTCCATAGGTTTGAAATGCATATATTATATAGTGAGTGACATAACTTTTTAAAAATGAATTTCCTTTTCTCATAGACATTTTTTACGCCATATTTGTGATCAATATGTAGAAAGTTGGTCAGTCAGTGATATGTAATATATGATAATAGATCTAATTAATGCTTGATCTGTTGGTCTGTAATCCTATATGCTGCTTTTTGTGGCTAGATCCAAAATATACACTAAAGTTGATTACTATATATATTAACAAGACCCCTGAAGGAGATTTTACTCACAGTTTCTAATTAAGAGATATTCATCTTAAATTTATAAGAATTGATAGGAGAGTAATGCTGTGTTAAAATTAGTGTAAGGTCAAAATGCAAATGTTTTGAATATTGGTTAAAATGTATTACATACAGTCGGAATATTGCAAAATGATTGTCAAATTTAATTACCTCTACCTAACCAAACGCTTGGCTCATATCTTTACTGACATATCTCTATTTTTAATAATTTATACGCTTAAATCAAAATATTAAAATATGAGAACGTAAATGGTCAAACTTGCCCATTTTTTTGAAGTATACCCTATCTATTCAATCTAAACGACATCCTTTTATAAAATATATTTTAACTAGCTTGTTGATCCAAATGAAAAAGATATATTGCAAATAAAAATTCGATTCTAGAAAATATTCCAGGTCACAAACAATATCTTAGTATCATCCTAATATGATCAAATATATAAATACTTATAGACACTACAAAAAAAGGTATTATAGTGATATATATAAGTCATGAATGCAAATGTAGGCTCAACTGTGAAGTCAGACACATTGACTTACCCTTATATGGATGGCTGGCTATTTCGACACATCAGAAAACGAAATAGCGGTTTAATGATAAACTTAAATCTGTTGTGAGATTAGCCACTGATGGTTGGATCTTAACAAACAATAAATACCGAAATCACTAGACTGCAGTCACACCAAAGTGTTCCTAACTGAAATCAGTGAAATACTAACTGATGTTATCAGTTAGAAATGTGGTCACACCACTTTGTCAAAATTCCTTTCGACTCGACTAAGTCAGGCTGTGTCCATTTTCCTGGAGGAACAATGAAATGGTATTTATATCCGCACTCAAAAGATTAGACTTAGAGTCTAATTAGCTTCTATAACAGCTCCTTATCTCCTCCAAACGTTTTTCGCTTCATCAAAACGAGTGAAATTCGATTTACCGTGTAATGGACCTGTACGGTCAAACTGATGTGATTCTTTCAACATATCATTCCCAAAAGGTGGTCTCACACCCTGGCTATACTACGCCCTATACCCTATACTAAGAAAAAAATTATATATAAGAATTGCAAAGGTGTTTTGGGTGATGCAATAATAAAATACAATTTTTCTAGTTTGTTTTGTTGACTACAGTTAAGGTTCGGAGTCCAAGTCAGTCATCTAAAATGTTTACGATTTCAATTGTTTGTTTATTTGTATCTAAATTTACGCAGAGTCATTTACTATAAACATAAGATAAAGTTATTTTCCGTACTCAAGATATTTTTGAACTCTTAAACAGCAGTTGATAAGAGAGTTTATTTTCCGGTCTAAAATGTCAGATATTTATTTTTGTTTATTCTAAATTTTATATCACATATATGCTTATCTCGTTAAAAGGTTTCTATTTTCTCTCTTTTTATTAGTACTTAAAAAGAGTCTGATGCCAATAGGCAATACTTATTCTCTTTCAAACGATATTGATTTTTTATTGAATTGATAAGAAGTTTTTCTTTGGTGATATGAATTGTCTTGAGACAATATAAAGCCATTTTGTAGAAATTTTGGTTCATATTCAATTGAACGCAAACACTGCACAACAAAAATTTTATCTAACAATAATTAAGCATTTTAAATACAAACCTTCAATAAAGATGGAATTGGTTACAGTATATGATAAATTGGAAAAAATATGGTCGGGTTCAGGTTCAGGAAGAATTTTTGATTCAAATAAATCTATTGGAGAGATTGCATTTTATATGATGCGTAGTAAATCACCTACTGAAATATGCCAAATATCAGATTCTGAAGACACAACGTTGACCTATGGAACTGCCATTACATATGCTATACGTATAGCACAGCATTTTAGGAAATTGGAACTGACTCAGGATGATATTGTGGGAATAGTTGCGCCTAATACTACTCTACTAATGCCTGTTGCAGTCGCTTGTTGGTTAAATTGTACACCATTTCAAGCAATCTATCCACTACATGAAGAAAGTAAGTAGTTTAGTCTTAAAATCAGTACAATATGTGAAATTTCTTTCAAAATTTTTTATAGATGTTATCGAACATCTTTTTAATATTACTAAGCCAAAAGTAATTTTTTGTGATGGTTTACGGTACGAAAAAATTAAAAACTGTAAGTCTGCATTAAATGCAAAAATATTTACACTCTGTAATCATTTAACCGATGTATCAAAAGTGGAAGATTTACTCGAACCCACAATAACGGAACATTTCTTTCGGTACGAAACTTAAGTTTTTCAATTAATAAATTCTAAATATAACATATTAAACATATTTTATTTAGACCAGCTACATTAAAATATGGACCAAACCAGACAATGGGACTGTTTTGCTCATCTGGTACCACTGGTCTTCCAAAAGCTGTTTGTATATCAAACCATTTAATGACGAAGAATTTGGGGTAAACTTACTATTTAGTACTTAAAAACAGTATTTAATATATTACTTTCAATATAGCTTTACTGATCGTGCTTCAATAATGTTCTCCTTCTCTACACCAGACTGGACAACAGGGCTTCTAAGCCTCGCGATTAATACGCTACTTGGTGGTGTACGCATAGTTACAACGAAACCATATTCTCCAGAATATTTGATGGAAATCGTCATTAAGTATAAAGTTTCGTTTTTGGGTATCAGCGCTTTTTCAACTACTGAAATTTCGAATTTACCTAATTTTAATAAGGAAACTTTGAAAAATATTCGTTTTATTTTTATGTCAGGAGGACACTGTCCCATATCTACGCTAGAACGTGTGCGTTCTCAGCTTACCATGGCTGTACTTTTAAATGGCTACGGCACTACCGAATGTGGTGGCATAGCCGCTAACATTAAGAATTATAAAAATAATTCGGTTGGTAGAATCCTACCCGAAATAGAAATTAAGATTATTGATCAACAAACTGGTGAAAAGTTAGCACACAATCAAGTTGGTGAAATTTATGTGCGTACGTCAAGCAAATGGAGTGGTTACTATGGAGATGTGAAAGCGACTGAAGCTGTATTAGAACTTGATGGTTGGGTACAAACTGGAGACTTGGGTTACATAGATGAAGAAAACTACTTATATTTGCTTGATCGTAGCAAAGATATTTTAAAATACAATGGCAGACAATATTCTCCACATGAAATCGAAGAAACTATATTAGAGTTATCAGATGTATTGGATGCGTGTGTTTTTGGTGTTTATGACGATAATTTTAATGATTTAGCGGCAGCAGCAGTTATGAAGAAACCTGGTGCTAAGTTAACAAAGGAAGAGATTGTTAAGTACGTTAAGGAACAGCATGAAGATAATAGCAAGCACCTGAACTATGGCGTTTTCCTTGTGGACGAAATACCAAAAAATGCTAATGGTAAAGTTTTAAGGAAAGAAACTAAGGAATATTGTTTAAGTTTGAAAAAAACTGAAATTAATTAAGTTCAGTTTATAATTTCTGTAAATAATAATCAACAGAAATAATAATAAAAAAATAACGATATAACAACGATTTGTTGTACTAAAGGAAGTCGATAATAAATTTTTCAAAGCAGATATATTAACTATGTTTTTTCTAATTTTTATTAATGTTGTCAATTTTTAATAATTAATTTATTAATTATTAATTGTTATTTATTTATTTGAAATTAATGCTGACGCTCAAAAATGATTTTAAAATAATCAGTCAAAAATGGTTCATATAATTATTATTATTTTAACTATTAAACTCTTTGGGAATGTTTTTTTATATGTGGTTATTTATATTGCAAATGCATAAATTTATTCATAATTTAATTTTAAATGTATATATTATCATTGTTTTTATTTACATTGTATTGCTTATAATATTATTTTTATTTATAATTAGAAATATTTATAAATAATTGTTTGGTATTGGTATTGATTTGCGGTAAAATAAATATATAATAATAATAATAATAAATATATAATATAAATACATTATTTTTAAGCACAGAAAGATAAAAACTATTTTATTTACACTTTGTTATATGAAGAAATAGACTTTAGAATCTGTGATCTGTCTGGACTCTAGATCAAAGTTCTAAATTTGTTATTAAAAAATAAGTCATGTTAATCATGTGACATTTAAAAATCATGACATTTAAAAATCATATTAGTGGACATTTAATTGATTTTATTTTATTGTTACAGCAAGTCATATGTCAGTTAGCAACATTCATACAGGACAGTAGAATACTTTATCAGCTAGAATACTATAACAAGCTAATAGAGAAAAATAGAAGTCTTGTAAATGCAAAAAAATTACTGATATGAAAAATGGATTACATGTACCAACTAGATGGTATACATTTGGTTAACATTATCTTCTTAAGACACTATAGATAGTACCACAGACTATATTTTGACTTTACAGTTAGTGGGATTAAATTAACGATAATACTACAGTTTATATTCTATGTAAAAAGTATTTGAAAAACATATCATTTATAAAGCGTACTTAGAAGTTATCGGTACTATATTTTTTAAAGTTGGTAGCACCGTATTGTGTTGCTATGCACTACCATATATTTTCTAGCGGTTTGACTCAACTATTAATGATAATATACTCTTGAGTGTTCTATGATGGCATAAGACTCTTAAAGAAAAAAGGTTATAATGATTACTTTTTTAATGTTTTCTAATTTTTTTAATTTTTGTAGGATATATTACAACTTTGATGGACACGGATTAAACTAAAGGTCATACCTAATCAGCCAATGTGTAAAGAAAGACTTCTACTTTAAAATTGGTAAAATAAATTTTGATTGATTTATGACTTTCTTGTATTTTTAGCACAGACTCTAGGAACTTTTTGCACGGATTACATATTACGGTAATATAGTCAGTAAAACAAAGTAAAAAACGGAAGGGAGTGTGATATGTGACTTTTTTTGATGGCAGGTTATGAGGTACTTATAATAAATTGAATTTTAAAAAAATATACATGAAGGAATATAGAATATAAATAGAAGTAAGTACTTTCAAAATCAGGATGAAAGAATATCAAATAAAAAAATCTGCGTTAGGCATAGCTGAATAAGGGTCATGTATGTAGAGTGGCATGGGCTCCTCAAAATTGGCACTTTTGGGTTTTGACAAAAATTATTATAATTTGTTTCTAAAAGACATCAATGTTGATATTTATCACTGAATAACACTGCTTTACCTAAGTGACGAGACACAGATAGTCTAGGCTCTCATGGTCAAGTTTGAACCTACATATTGTTTTTTCTCTCAATTATGGTCATTACGAATTTATGATACTCTACATAACATGGGCCTAAGGAAATGTTGAAATCAAAATCGTAATTTTTGAACCGAACTACAATAAGGGAAAGGCATCAAATTAAAGGATATTAAATGAATTTATATCTGATTTATACCTTAAGCTATTTAAATGAACCACTTTTGAGATACTGAGTTTTTTTTCTGTTTCTATTTCCAGATATTCGTTTCATGTTAGAAATATCCTCAGCAGTAATATGTCAAGAAATGCTCGAAAATCAATCAATGAAGTATAAAATATATTAAAATTATATATTAAAAATTATTTTTTAGATATTTATCTAAAAGATTTTGAATAAACTTTTATTTAATGCTTTATTTCGATAGGTACGGTAGTGAAAAAGCTAAAAGTATTATTTTGTACACATTTTCAAATTGTATTTGACAATTATTTTTATTTGGCTTTGTTTAAATTATAAATGCTTCAATAAATAATTAGAGTTAAATAAATTACGATACAATTTCTTATTAAAAACATAAGCAAATAACATTATCTCTATAAGCAACTTGTGTCACATAATTTATTTATGACAAAATGGTTGTCAGTTAAAAAATTTAAATTATTTTATTTCATATGACTAATATAAACACTTATAAAATATTAGTTATGACGTCACAATTGACTTAAACTAGTCTAATACTTCATTTCTAATATCACAACGTCATATCACAACGTCACATCACAACTTCAAGTTAAATCACATTTGATTAATTTTATACAATAAAGGTAACCACTTGTTGGTATCGATGATGACGTATACATATGTGGTGAACCAATTTAATTATATGCTCGATAAAATCAATTCAAATCTTTTAAGGAAAAAGTGTCAGATACATGCAATCTTAACAGAGAGTTACAAAGTTGTAACAAAAAGAAATTTTAAAATTGGCACGTTCGGTATAGGGACTTTGTGTAATTAACCGGAAATGTTTATTTTCTTTATGCAGAACATATAAGCAAATATTGAAAGAGGGCAGGAAAAATAAAAATATACCATTAAATTCGAAAGAAAATGTGTAATAATTGATATGTGGAAGATTTTTAATTTATGTTATAAATTTGTAAAATTCAGAACTATTTAAATATCAAACATAAATATTTCAAATAAAAAGTTCAATCCAACTTACAATCCAACTAGTATCTACTGTTATTATTAAGTTAAGTTGCAATTATACAAATCTGCTAAATGGTAGTTCGCTTGTTTAATTCCAGAAGTATGTTTAGCAGTTTTTAGTAGCTTTGTGTTACAGACCATTGCTTTATGGAGCACTGGATCAATTTTCATTATTTCTAAAGTCGGTCTTGATTTCTGAGTTTCTGAGTCCGTATGCAATAATATTTGCTGTAAGAATTGCTGAAATATGAATAACAAATATTTTGGTATGAATAATGTAATCATTAGCATCTTTTAGCTATACCAGCCCAATTAGGATTTAGATTTTTATGCCAATTCATATTATTATTTTTAGTTTCTTGCTAACCTCTCTCATTTCTCTGTATAAGGTCAATTTTATCCTCCTTAGTACATTCTATTATCTCTTTACATAGGTGTCTTTTAATAGCGCTAGTTAAATTTGGCTTAGAATCATTTACTGCGCATTGGTTGTCATCCATTGTTAAACGCGATCAATCCATCTTTAAATCTCAGTTCCCTTTATTTTAATTTAAAAATTTAGCGTCTTCCATCTAGAGTTTTAATAAACTTCACCTTCGCTCAAAATAAGTTTAGTTCCATAATCTAAGTTTTCTTAATATCTCGTTTTGGTATCAAATTATTCTTAAATAAATTAAAATTCTTGAATCGTTTAAAAATTGCAAAGGATCCCGCTTACGAATTCGATATTGACCATGTTTTATGCTCAAATTTATCTACTGGTTTAACAGCTATTTACATACCTTTAGTTTGGACTTTCCTGATAGAAGATTTGACTGAAAATCTTTGCCGGAAGCAAATAACCCTGCATGCATTCTCTGCAATAATCGTCATATCCTTTAAGTACTTGAGTACTTAAACTCTCTGTCGTCTCCCATTAAAAAGTTCTGTTGATGATTCTGCTGGTGTTTCTGGATAACTTCATTCAGTTTGTTTTATAATAATTAAGAATGGGGTCAACACATCTACTTGCTGTGTTTATGTGCAAAAGAAGGTATAAAAGTTGATGCTTATTGCATGTGAGAAGATTGCCATAATCTGCAAAGATTGATAATCATCTTGATCTACTAAAAATGATATGCGGCTTATTTGAACCACTTATCACAGAGTAGAGGTGAATATAATAGCAATGTTAATAGATTGTTCGTTGGTTCTATTGCTAAATTTATGGCAGAAGTATCTCTGAATTCTGTCTTGTATTTTGTAAACTTTCATGACTAGATATTTTATAAGCTACTTCTTAATATATAACAAATATTAATGCGATATAATTGGGTTACAGTTTTCATCTTTTTTTTTTAAGTAATCTTAAGATGTGCGGAATTAGTTATAGAAATAAAAAGTATTAAAGTTAATTATTTTTGCCTTAAGTTACGCTTCTTATGACGACAAAGAAGCTTATTTTTTGTAAGTTAGAAGGATTCCAATAGCAAAGAAAAGGCAAGAACAAATATTAAATTAATTTATTGAAAATTGTTTGACCATACAACACTGTTTCGGGTATTGTCAAGTACTTGTCATCAGTGGTCTTAAGAAATATTAGAATTCCTTTTTAATTAGTTTATAGTCCGTATATAATTTGTTTGGACTGCAATTGTTAGGCCTAGAAATCTCGCCAGTCAAATTAGCATTTGACTGCTATTTAGTCACCGCCTGTGATTTAACGGGCACGAGTTCTAAGCCTGGCACAAATTATATACGGAGTATAAACTAATTAAAAAGGAATTCGAATATTTCCTAAGACCATTGATGTTGAGTAATTTGCAATACTAGAAACAGTGTTATATGGTGAACCAAACTTCAATAAATTAACTAAGTTTTTGTTCTTGTTTTTCCTTTGCTATTCGAATCCTTTTAATAAAAAGTATTGAATTCATAAGAATTAAATTTCTTCAGATATATTTTTGAAAATATTAAATTTTGTATCAACTACAATAAAAATATTTCTATAGTCAAATTTATAATTTAAAAATTTTTAAAATCGAAAAAGAACAATACTATTTTATATTTACTCTTCAATTTCATACTTCCACCTCGTTATTTTGAAATATTTTTGCATAAAATACAAAATTCTTGTTTTCTTAATAGTGTGAAATATTGGATGTAGTTGAATCCTTACATCTTTGCTTACAAATTTGTTCTAAAGAGCAAAGAAAAATATAAGTGAAAAAACAAACATCTGTATCTACAAAATCACAATCAATGGTACCCAATATACAGTTGAAACAGAATATGGAATACATAATGGCCAGTGAGTATTAGTCTTGACCTAATTGCATACAAATTGAAGACCAACAAGTAATACAGCACAGATTTCCAAATCGACATATATATCACAATGGGGTGGAGAACTAAATTTTTTTCTTATGATTTTTATCTCCATTCAGTGTTCCTGAAATGGGAGGTAAAAGTGTAACGATATCGTCAGAAATGTTTTATTCATTGAAATGTCTATTTCCGATGGACATTATTACATTTCCTTGCATTGAGGTGAATAGTGCAAATTGCTAAAGTCTTATAACATTTTTTAAATTGTATTCATTGCACTTGGATGTTGTGAATTCTGGTAAAAATTTTACGCTTACAAAATAATCTATTTTTTGATTCAAATATTTTTTGTTTTGTTTTTACAACAGTCTGAACAAGAAAAATAATTTTTAATTATCTTCTATTTGTTGTACACTCCTTCAAGTGAGAATGAAAACATAATGTAGATCACAGAATAAATTTTAGTTTTAAAATAAACTCAAGCGAAAGTTCTGTATTTTGTATATAAAAATATAAAAAATTATCTGGTACTAAACGCCATACTAAAAATACTCCACAAAAATCATAAATCTTTTAATTATTTTAATTTCATAATTTTTATCTTCCTTATAATATTGTATATTAAAGACAATATTAAAGCACTTTTTATTATCTACACTGTAGTGAACTAAGAAAGGAAAAAGAACTATGATATTTTGATTAGGGACTCATTTTTAAGACTCCCAAAATATGTAAAACCGCTAACACCTTACCTTGTGCAATTTATTAAAAAAAAAATAAAATGTCTATTTATCAAATTTTGAAGTGTTATTTATATAGATAATTGAGAGATAACAAATATACAATATAATGTCAATGTTAGAATAATCATATATTTATATATCCATATATTCACATTCTATATGTGTACTTATTCATATTAACTTTTATATTTTTATTAATATATCTTTCTTATATTTTTTTTTTATCTTCTGTTCATCAATTC